AGTGGGCGTGGCTAATTATTCAATCAGAGTCGCTTTTCCCTCAGAAAGATCTTATCTTCACCGCGTCGTATTAATCACCGTGTAATAACGTCGTAATTTCGCTGTATCCTCGTCCTGAAAACCAGGAATTATAAGATGTAGCCAGTGTTTTGAAAAGGCAACTGATACGTCAGAGATTTTAAATTATACATCAATCAAAGATAAAACCTCGAAATTACAAGATTATAGCTTATTATTATGAAACTTGAATTATAGTATTTCCTTTATAGTTTGCTTGTTCTTTCTGGAAAAAAATAGGAGCTCTTTACACCATACAGATACCAAAGTTTTATTTCCTATGATGATCGAAATTTATTTTGTACAATATGTTATTATAATTTCGTGTAAAACGCGGTAATAATATTTCGAAACTATATAGTTCAGAAGTGGAGTTGGTCTCCTACAACTTTATTATGCGCTTACTCGTCGCTATACCCAACGGAGCGAAATCGGACCATCCTGTCACCCGACTAATTCCTAAATTTATCATCGTTATAGAGAGGGGAGGGGGGAGAGGACAGGGAGGGCGGGGGCAATCTCAAGTTTCGAGCGCGGTTAAAGCTCAAACTTAAATTATGTATCAAAATGAAATTATACTCTCCCGCCGTCCCACACGATCCAACGCCAATGGGGTCCCCTCCTCCCGGGGATTAATTTATGAAACTTATGCCGTTCTAAGACGAGCTTAAATCTTCTTTTCACGCTCGGTTGTGCGCTCGCGGTGAGTGTCGTTGTCTCGTTGTTATCTTAACGGCTGCCATGGCGGCTGCTAACGAGAATACAGACTGTTCGTTATCTCGGCGGCAAGAACACGCGCAGGCTCTCTCTCCGTACGATACTTGATGTGCTTTATATACTGGAAACCAGAAACACTGCGAGAGCACACGAGGTGGACCGTATGCGCGCCATATCGACGTCCCTATGAATCGCTAACTCTCAGAACCGCAGTTGATATTTTGGCAGCTACAAACCCGTTAATCATTATGCGTGCTCATAAATTCAGACATTATGTATTCCTGTGTCATACAATTTATCAAATAATTTTTCCATTTCTGCTACTATAATATACTCTTATTTCTTGATAGATTAATCGTTTTATGTATGATGATATCCCAAAAAAAACATTCAATTCCTAACAGTAAAACGCGATTCGAAGTCGATTAAACAGCGATGTTAATGATTTTTGATAATTATAAAAAATCATTAACATCGCCCTTTAATCGACTTCGAATCGCGTTTTACTGTTAGGTAAATCACATACGAATCGACTTCGAATCGCGTTTTACTGTTAGGAAAATCACATACGATTGAACGTATGATTTTTTTTAAAATAATCTTTCTGCTCATATATTCGGAGAAGTTACCAAATGTTTCAGCGCTTATTGATAAATGGGATTATATCTGACGCCTTTGAATGACATGCCTCTCGAGTAAAATTTTTATTGCACGTTTATTCACGTGCACTCTCTCTTTTACAACTGGTTCTCGCGGCGAACATGAATACTACATATAACATTAAAAATGTTTTAGACTGTAAACAGTTAATTAATCTCGCAGCTCAACGCAGTTGATGCAGTCCTCGTTTGAGAATATGCGCGTCCAGTGACATACATAGTTAATCGCGCGAAACTCGTCTGCCAAGTGCGGTGAGTACTTACGACAGAATCTCACGAAATTTCTCGCAGTCGTAAAGAGACACGTTGCGTAAATACCTGTGCTTGGATGGTCCATTAGAGATAGTTTTAATGTCTGCTGCTGCGCGGAGATTGTCAAGAGAGAACATTGAAACATCAGGATAACAAACGCATTATAACACCAAATTGAATGGGGAAGCGGAAGAGTATCTTGCTAAGCTTTTAAGTTTGTCCATAAACGTAGGAAGTATAGAGTGTATAGACTGTGTATTCCTTCACGGAGAGAATTTCCTTTTAAAATTTACCCTAAAAATCACGATGTTAATCATCGGACAAAGCATTTCGAAAAATTTTATGTGATTTTCTCTGTTTTTTACTGTGCACTACAATAAATTTGTTGTAGTTAGAAATGTAAATAGAAAAAAAACCAAATTGTTTTTTTCATAAAATACATTTTTTTTTTAGAAAAAAACATAAACCTCGTTTTTTCTCAAAATTACAGATAATAGATTTACAGATAATAGATTTAAATTATCATTTTAACCTTTACGCAGAACAATAAAGCCAATATATTGATTTTGAAGCATATTTTGAAGCAAGGACTTCAATGAATAATTATAATAAATTCTACTTAAGGAAAAGCTGTTTAGAAAAAGAACTAAAAAGATTCTCCTTTTGTAAAAGTTAAATGTAGATTACATTAAAATTAATTATATAACTATATAATTACTATTTATAATTAATTAGTCGTGCTATTGGAATTGAAAAAAAATCAAATTTGTATCAATGAAATAAAACACGTTTTTTTCCTAATATTTTTTTCTATTAGATAAAAAACGTTTTTTTTACATCTCTAGTTGTAGTATATATTTAAAAAAAAATAGTGAAAATCACATAAAATTTGTCGAAATACTAAGTTGTCCTATACGATTAACATGATTTTTAGGGTAAATTTTAAAGTAAAATTCTTTCCGTGATTAAAATTGCCACTTTCAATTTAGAAAAAGTGAAGTAGCTTGATTCGTATATCGTACTCTTTCTTCAAAATATCAGTAGTGGGAACATCGTGACTCTATACGTATGGTGACCTCTATACGCTTCCCCGATCAAGGCGAAAATTCAAAAGTGATAACGAAACAACTCAATACTACGAAACTACTGCGTTCCCTTTTTAACGGAGCACAGATGCTAAGTTGAGTTATATAACACGGAAAGAACGATTTTATTGAAAGGTCTAAAAATTTTGCTGAATACAGATTTGAAAATTTTTGTTCAATAGTCAAAATAATTTGTTGAAAAGTTAAAAGTGATAGGCATTGCTATAAAACGTTTTGATATTCTAGCAATCATTTTGACTTTCCAACAAAATTATTTTGATTATTAAACAAAAATTATTTTTTGATCTGGATCCAGCAAAATTGTTCTTTCCGTGAAGGAAAGGCGTCTACACTTTCCACGTCTATGGGTTCGTCATCGCGTCTTTTCACGCAATTTTCGCATCCGTATTTCAGACGAATTTTTGATTTATCGCGACGTAACGTGCTTACAGCCCGATACTCTTACGTCGCGGTGAATTAACGTCAGACCAACGGCCGTACACTTACGAACGACACGGGATGCGGACGCTCGCTCACGTAGACCGCGCGCCGATGCATTCACGAATGCATCGATGCGCGCGCTTTCTCACACCGGGAGATCGTTATACCCCGCGGCGGTCTATGAGCCTAGACAAACGTACATAAATTGAATGCACCGAGATTAGGGGGTTGCTCAGCTGGTAACCACTTTGTAACAGTACCACGGAGGGACTGAGACGAATGGTAATGGCGTCCAAGTCTCTCCCGACAGCGTCGCGCGGCTGGGAAGATGCGCCGGCCCGATCGGACGAGTCGCCGTTTGTCATTTTCCTATAGTTTTCTCCCTTCACCGCTTCGATCAGTCGCTTATTCACAATAACCCATCGCATCGGATACACATAACGCGTCTTTGAATGCGGCGGTGAGTGTTGAAAGTACGGGAACTACACGGAAAGAATAATTTTGCCGAATCCAGATCTGAAAATAATTTTTGTTCAATAATCAAAATAATTTTGTACGAAAGTCAAAATAATTGCTAGAATATCAAAACGTTTTATAGCAATGCTTATCAGTTTTAACATTCCAACAAATTATTTTGATGATTCAATAAAAAATTATTTTCGGATCTGTTTTTAGCAAAAATTTTAGACCTTTCAACAAAATCGTTCTTTCCGTGTATATATAATCTAATAGTTTAGGAAAAACTCTCGGTTAAAGGTACGCAGCAGTAAATAACACGCGCACGTAAAAAAAACTTGTATATGTTTTTCCTTTCTGTAAAATATGCACGCGGAAAGAACGATTTGCTGGGAGGTCTAAAATTTTTGCTGGATACAGATCTGAAAATAATTCTTGGACTATCAAAATAATTTTGTTGGAAAATCGATCTTTTGATTGTTAGAATATCAAAACGTTTTACACAGCAGTGCTTATCATTTTTTAGTTTCCAACAAAATTATTTTCAGATCCAAAGTTTTTGACCTTCCAGCAAATTCTTTCCGTATAAAATATCTAAGTGCCGAAACTCATATTAAAATGATTCTCACACGGAAAGAACAATTTTGCTGAATCTAAAAATGCAGATCTAAAAATAATTTTTGTTCAATAATCAAAATAATTTGGTTGGAAAGTTAAAATGATTGCTAGAATATCAAAACGTTTTATAGCAATGCCTATCACTTTTAACTTTTCAACAAATTATTTTGACTATTGAACAAAAATTTTCAAATCTGTATTCAGCAAAATTTTTAGACCTTTCAACAAAATCGTTCTTTCCGTGCACTAGCCCTTACTCCCTTTCTTATTATTCTTACTAAAATATGTCATCGTTGCAGAATTTCTGCTACTATTTCATTCTGATTCGCACTCTTTTTTCTCACGAAAAGTACTTGAGTATTCTCTCCCGGAATCTTGCTTTCGAATCGAAAGCGAATCGTTACGCGCGATAGAGATTGAGCTCTATGACCCGCAGGATCGTCTAATTAGCCCGGGCTCTCCGCGTTATTGGCGCTCTAACGCGCCGTACATTGAGACGCGTGAAGAATTAGAAATCCTACACGCCATTATCGTCGCTTACTAATCCCGCGCGCACGAGAGACGAGATGCGCAAGTACGGGCCATGGCACTTCCGTAATTAACCGTGCCACGCGGTAATCGCGCGGGGTTACTCGACGCGAGGCGTAATTGCCCCGCGTCGCTTAGGTGTCTTTGTTGGATTTACATGTAATTGCCGGGCCGCGGGGGCACTTACGTTTGCAGGCCTTGCGATGCGTGATCGGTCTCGCCGGGTCCCTGTAGAAACCTTCTTTGCAGTAATGACAGTGCCTTCCTGCCGTAGAATGCCGGCACTGCAGACAAACGCCTCCGCTGACACGGCCCGACAGCTTGTACAGCTCCATGTTGAATCTGCACTTTCTCGCGTGGAGGTTGCAGTTGCACACTGAAACAGGTAACACGGTAATTTCAGTCAGCGAGCGACAATCGAGGCGCGCCATTATTTTACGACTACATTTCCTTTAATTCCTCCCTATTTCTCGCTCGCACACGAGCGCGAGATTTTTCTTCTCTTCTTTTTTTTCTTTTTAGCTGTGCCGTTAGTGCCGATATTATTGTCATTAAAACGCCATAATCGCGATTGAAATTCAATGCGGCCGCAATTATTTTGTTGAAAAGGAAAAATAAGGGGTTATTCTTCATTATCATTTAATCTTCGTTGCGTGCGGAAATAATATAACGTTAAATTACACATTTTCACCTTTTTCTTAAGGCAAAGATGCGAAGAAGGTCAGTAGTTTACGTTAATCACGCGTGATATTTTCAGACGTACCGAGAAAATATTGTTACAAAGATAATACAGTTTACAGTTTTAAATTTGCATTTGCAAGGCTCTTCATGCGAAATGTAGAGAATACATTTGAGACAATTTCATTTAAAACGCATGTATTATACCTTATGTGAAATATATGAAATTCGCTTTTAGTAAAAGTGACATATGTATCATTTCTTTTTCTCTTATTCACGAAGTGTACATAGTGTGAGACACCAGTAAAAAGAGAACACTTCAAACTGAATTAAAAAGTCGACATTTCTAAAAATGTTTCCTATATAAATTTCTGAACAGAGATAGAAGATATCGCTTATCTATTCCTCGAAGTGATTGATTTCAGTTAATCTTTTCTCGCGCCGACAGAAAACTTAATTTCACATCTTTGTACATAGATTTATGCATTTATTAATGATTGCTCAGAGAAGCGTCTATAATAAGTAAACATATGTTCATGCAAATTGATTAATATGCGACGACTGCTCAGCTAAATCGCAGCGTTCCTTCATCGCGGAGAACGATATTCAACTCACCAGCGTCAGAGTCGGCATTGCTCAAATGCCATCTATTCTACTTTAATTATGCATTGCTGCAGAGTAATAAACGTTGCGTCCCGCCCAACCGACGTACAAGTGCGACGCGAATACATATTATCTCGCCGGTAACTGCGAGCAGATATTTCAGGCATTCCTCCGATTGAAGCATCGAGCGCGGCGCGCGCGCACAGGCACTCGTTAATATTACGGAGCTACATCGTGGAACGCACGACGGAGCGTGCCAAGGCTCCTTCTGTACTTATCGCGGTAATTAGTCTCGAGTTTATTCATCCGGCTGGAGGAAGGAAGGCGTCTCGAGGGGGTCGTCTTCGTTATCGGACGACGGTCCTCGACTTCTCTCGTCGTTCTCTCGATCCGCCTCGCGTAGCACTGCCAACCTGATCCGACTAGAGAAGTTCGGTAATCCGTAATTCGAAAAATGTGAAACTTCGCAGCTTTGACTTTTACATCGAATTTTCGTGACAAAATTGTCGAATTGCATTTACAAGGAGAGCTCAACAATCTGGAGATAAGAAAGTAAAATATTTGCATACAATTTTGCACACAAGTGAAGTAACTTAATTCAAATCCATAACAATTTTTCTTTTTTTTTTTAATAAAAAATAATTTTATGTATTTATCCATATTTTAGTATCAAAAGATATATGTTCGGCTAAATTACTCTATTTTAATGCATTTAAATATTTTTGTGACTTGCTGAATTTTCTTTGTGAATAGAATTTGATGTGTGAATCTGTCATAAATTTCGATGGAAAAAAGAAGTTGAATGAATCTTTTATGTATTATTTTGGTAGATGGAAAAATCGGGATGCAAGTGCCACTGGCCAATCCGTCAATCCATCAATATATCAATAACAATTGATAGAATTTAATAAACATCAAAGTTCATACTATCGTACAAAAATGTCGGTGAATATTGACGAAAATTAATGTCTGTAAAAAATGCCAGAATTTTGTTTTGTAAATTGCTAAAATAGCCCAAATTAAAAGTTTTAGCACAGGGAGAGTTTTAGTACAGGCGTCTATATGGCGCTCCTCTGTTACACAGATTAAATGTTTTCACAGTTCGAATGTACAACTTCTTTCCAATTTTTCTCTGAAACCAATTTATAAACACACAAATAAAAGAAAATCTTTTATTAGCTGAGTAATACCTATATATTATGTTCTCTCGAAAACATAATTAAAGATTTAAAGAAGGCAATAACAGTAAGGATATTCCAAGAATTCTTGATTTTCGGCTAGTTAAAATAATAATCTTTTCCATATAATTTCATCTAGCGTTTCAATCAGACTTTACATCTTCAACTCATTTTACCAAGCAGTTAAAATTCCCAATTTTTACACTTGTTTCATTCGTTTATCTATATGCTAAAATGTCTTTTCAAAAGTCAGCCAATTTCGATAAATGTAATCGAAAGAATTTACCAACGTTGATATCATTGTTCCGATGATTTCACTCCCCCATCGATCGCTCGCCCATTGAATTCTCGAGAAGCTCAGGGGAGTGCTACTCCGGCTAGAATCGTGCCGTAACTTTCCTCTACTCGAGCACGCCACCCGTGTTCTTTGCGACAGCTTGGCAACATAACAGAATAATTGAAAGCGCAAGGGGGAACGGTGTGGAACGGTGAATGTCAGAGGGGGTGGAATCAATGGGGGAGGCTCGCGGTTTGATCCATCTCCGCGCACTCGTTCTCTCGACCCAATAATCCCGTGTGTCGAACCGGGAGAAGCGTGCCTTATTTTTCGCTCGCGACGACGACACTCGTTACCGCGACTCTTTTTCTCCCTGCTACCTCGGCGCGCGCTTTGTCCTCCTTTTTTCCCCCTCAAACGCTGACAGTGCTGTATACAGGCTTAGCAGTGCCGTCATAATTTATACCCTCTTATACAAATGAGCGCTACACTTTAATCGATTCGCCGGCGGTGACAGGTGAAAAATAGGATCTGCTTCAATTTAAAGTAGCAAGCGTATAATTAACGCGGATGTATCTTAGCGATTAAAAATTAATGCTATTCATGAGAAGACAATCGTATAATAACTGTTTATGAAGTAATAAATGTGAAATATGATCAAATACACAAGATAGTTTTTTAATACACGAGATTGAGGAAATGAGAGGAACATCATTTATCTAGTAACGTTTATTATCGATTATTACAACATAGTAATGTTATTACAAAAATTTCAAAAGAAATTGAAAAATTTAGAAAAAAAGCGAATCGATCTTGAACTTAACAAGAAATCCACTCGAAGTGAGTTCTTGTTGTTGCAATTTCGCGTTAAACAAACCGACGCTGATTGAAACGCAAGATTGAAGAGCGAGATATTGCTTCCGGACAAATCATCAGGAGTGGATACTTGTTTCTTTCAATCATGATTGAATTTAGAGTCCTGTGTACTCTTCTGTGTATTTGTTACCGGAATCTTCGTCTCTTTGCCGGAAATAAAATACGACGGTTTAATGGAAAAACTAATATGTACTTTTAAATTTCAATCGCACGCGATCTTTTTATTTATGTTTTTTGTTAATTTTATTTTTTCCAATCACTAAGATATAAAATTTTTCATGCGCATCGCCGATTTGTATAAACTATTGCTCCATTTTTTAACGCTTTACGCTTTAGTCACTTTTTCAGTCAGTTATACCTAATCATATTAGTTTATCAGCAACAGACATTGTTATATATGCTTTACAAATATATAAAAACCGTATGCACAAATTTATTAAATTCAAGATCGACAGCGTTTTCTTAATGCTCTCATTGCGAGCCAGCGAAAATCTCGGCTGGTGATTTATGGGAACTCGGTTTGCGCGAAGCGCAGAATTTGATCGATGGATAAGAATGTTGTTGAATCCAAGTTGGCCGCGCGCTATGTATCGGGTCGATCGGATAACCCCTCGATAGTTAATAACCACCGTCAGCCACCGTCTGAAATTCCACGATCGGTTCCTGTTATTAAGTCGTAGCCATGTCAGAACCTCGACTCGTTTTCGTGGAGATGATCGCCGTAATTAGCGATTAATCGAAGTGGTATCGGCGAGTCCCGCGGCATTCACCGCCGGCATTTAAGAGCGAATTAGTGTTTTCGGAACTGCGTCGATATTAATTAGCTCGTACTGAATCCCACGATTTATAATAGTCGAGTTACAGCTCCTTTTTATGGCGCCTCTCATAAATCAATGCATCCCCGGAGAAAAATAAAGTGTTACTAAAGCAAACAGTGAAACTCTACCCTAGTAAATCTATCTCAAATAAATTAGTCCTTCGCGGAATACTTGTGATTAAATGAAATTTAGTAGCACTTTATTCTTCACTTAAATAAAATGCAGGTAATACCTTCTCGGAAAATATTAGATTCTTTCTATATGAAAAATGTACAAATACAGTAATACTTTATATTCACATATCTTATCCTCTCTCTGATTTATGTTAAGAATATCTTTATTATTAAAGTTAACGATACTATTTTTATTGAAAATGATAAATATTTGAAAAAGCGAAAAAGTAGTTAAATGAATAAGAAAATTGTGTAAAATTCTTTTAAAATTCTAAAATTTTTTTTTCAAAAATAATTGACAATTTTTAAAAGTTTATTCTCTTTGCTTTAAAATATGCGTATATTTATATAATTATTTTTTACAAAAAGATGAGATTTTTAAAGAAAAAAACTTGTTAGGTATTCTTGAAACAATATTGGAATATCAACTTTCATGTTACTTTCCTTTCTACTCAGATACTTTCAAACTTTTAGTACCTTTTGACCTTTTTCCTATCGCGCGTGTATCGATCGTTTCTCAGCTTCGGAATGTGTAAAATTTGTTCTCAGGAGTTTCGTTTTAACGAAAAGAGATGCAGACCCTTTTCTGAAATTTTATTCGGAGAGGAAATAGCAAGCTTGTTTTCAAGTGATAATCTCTCGTCCCGACAAGAAGAAATATCGCAGCACACTGAATATATGTCTACTCTGGCTTTTGTCAAGGCAACCTAGTTTATAGTGAGTTATCCTCTTTTGTTTTAAACATGTCATCCGCTATCTTTAATCTACTGTTT